AATATTCTTAATTCTCTTAGGTTTTCCAGGTGTAAGTTATATCATATATAAGTAATAGTAATTTTGCCTCAAGAGTTCCAATATTTATCTCCCTCACCCTCTTGTCTAAATGCAATAACTAACATTTCCAGAGCACTGTGAAATAACAGAGGTAGTTGGAAGCATCTTTACCTGGCTCCTTGTATCAATAGAAATGACCTTGTATTTATCATTACATGATGCTAGAATTTTGAGATATATACTTCTCTATTATGTTGACTAATGTTCATACATTACCATTTCACTTGGGATTTTAATGGGAATGAATATAAAATTTGATCAGAATAGTGACCTTTTTTGCTAATGACTAGGTTAATTACATGAATCAGTACCACTTCCTTTTATTTGAGTTTGCATCGACAAGAACTTAGCCACATAGGAACCCCTCATTATAAAGGAGGCTGGGAAATGTTGTCTCCGGCAGGCAGGCAGGTTCTCTGCTAAAACACAGTGGAGGTCGGGCAGAAGGGTTTCTTAAAAAGGGAGGCAGAGGGGAAATGGACATGGGGGGGGGGGGATCCCAATCTATCCCTGGCTAACAATTCCATTAGCCATCTCTTCGATTTGTTAAAAGCAAAGAAATTGAAACCACTTGATTCACAAATGGATTTTTTACCTTCAATTCGGCCTGATGATTCAGATCATCCCTGGGGTCCCCTGGAGGTCTTTACACCCCATGACAGTGTCCCAGAGAAGAGCCAGGATGAGTGAGGGGTCTTGCCTGTCCTTTCTAGGGTGGGAAAGTGAAGGTGGGGAGGGAGAATCAACAGCAGGCCTCCACCACAGGCATCTATCTTCTCATGCAAATCCATTTTAGGAAGAAATACAACTGTAAGTGACGGATCTGAAAATTAATTCATTTAATTGTGCCCACATACCCCTTTGAAAGTCTTTAATGCCTCCAAGGTTATGCATCCAGATTTAAGGACACAACCTAGAGCTTTAATTCTGACTGCCTTCTCGATTCTTTTTACATGCTATCATCCAGCATTTCAGTTCTGTCCTTTTTGTTAATCCCACTGACACATTTTAAATTTTAACCTCAGATTAGTTTGACTAGGTTTTTTTCTTAAAACTGTCATTGTAAAAATATGTAGTATATAAAACACATACCGAAAGTCCCTTTGGTCCCTACACTCCCCACACCATTCTCAAGGTGAATATCTTACATTTCCAAATGTGTTGTGTGTGTAGACAGACAGGAAGATAAGTAGGTACAGATATATATACATACACACACGTATATATTCTGTATTCAATTTTTTAATTATCCAAGTATTACAGCTCATCTTAGCAAGTTAAATAACTTAAAATGGTATAATGAAAATTAATAGGTTTTCATACTTCCCTCACAACACACCTTTGAGGATAAAAATATAAACAATTTGCTATGTACCATTGTACTCTTATCCTCTGTGACCTGTAAATCTACAGGGTGGGGCAAAAGTAGGCTTACAGTTGTTCATATGGAAAATAATACAATCATTAATAAGTAACAACATTAAACTGTTTTGTGTACTCTGGACTGTAAACCTACTTTTGCCCTACCCAATAGACAACTGTCAAGGAGGAAATTTCATCCTCTACCCTTCACGGTTCTTCTGGCCGGTGGTCTAACCAAATGAACACAAGACAGATTAGCAGGGGAAAAACAAATTAAAGTTTAGTGATAGGCTCAACTCCTATATACGTGGGATGGGCCCAGGAACACTGAGTAACTCCCCCAAGTGGTGGAAGCCAGCACCTTTAACACCACCTTCAGCTGAAGACAGATGATGATGCTGGGTTAGAGTCCGTTATGGAAAAGCACAGTAAACAAGGTTTAGAATGTTTGCAAATTTAAGGGCAAGCCTTCTCCACAGACAGTGAAGGGAGGCCTGGCACAGTGAGGGAGACGCCTTTACAAATGGAGATCTCCCTTAGAAATAGAAATGCCCTTTGCCAGACGGCAACTTCTACTTGGTTTTCAGAGCTTCTTCTAGGTTTGCTCTTTCTTAAAATTAACTAGCCTAAAATCATCAATGTTCCAAAGGGACATATTTTGGGGCGGGAACCATTCTAAATCTACAAAAAGTGATTAAACATTTTAAAATAAAATATGATCAAGTCTATACATTATTTTCTAAGAATTAAAATATAAATCTACTAACATTTATCAGGCATGTATACAAACACAATAAATGTTAAGAAATAGGCATGCACACACAAGTGTATATGACAACATATCTCAAGTGAATGACGAAAATAAGTTTTACTCAAATAAAGGTACTGGAATCACTGGTGGTTAGCTTGAAAAAATTTACATTAGGTCTGTACCTCATACTTTCCACCAAAATAAATTCCATAAAGACCAAAAGTGTTAACGTAAGATACGAAGAAATAAGACTACTGGAAGAAACCATGGGAGAGGATTTTCAATTTGGGGAGAGAAGGCCTGTACAGCGTCACAAAACCTGAAAGCCATCAAAGTAAAAGAACAGAGTAATATGTTTATTGATAAGAAAAAAAAAAATTTTTCCCGCAAAACAAAACCACCATAGAAAAAACAAATGACAAACTAGAAAAGTATTTCTCCCTCCCATCACAAAGGACTAATTTTCGAATCTATAAGCACTCCTGCAAATCTATCTATGGACACCGCAGGACCCACTCTCCGGGGTGCTGGTGGGGAGGCGCTGCAATGCAACCCCCGGAGGACAACATGGCAGCATCACTCAACACAGCAAATGCACATGCCCTCGGGCAAGCAATGCCACTCCCAGAGATCCATCATTTGCAAAGTGATATATGTGCATGGTTACTCACCGCAGTAGGGTTTGTAAGAGATTGGAAATAACCAAAATGCTCACTAACAAGAATCTATATCAATAAATTTGCATATTTAAGAATACTGTGCAGCAATTTTCACGTGCTGATATGGAATGGTCTCCAGAAAATATTGGCAAGCGAAAAGAGCAAACTGTAGGACAGAGTGATTTGTATGCCATCATTCTTCCTTGTTGGTTTTTTAAATGGGGGGGCGGGGGACATAGGGAACTGTTTACATATGCACAGGATAACTCTAGCTGGAGCCACAGAGTCAGGCAACTGGATGGCTGTGGGGAAGGGTCACTGGGGAGTGGGAGCTGCAAGGAAACTTTTAACTGCATACCCATCTCTGAAACTTGAACCCTGTGAATGTAATTATCTAGTCAAAAAGTTATACACTATAAAAGTATTTAAATATATTTTTAAAACATCTACAGAGGATTTTTTAAAATAAAAATGTTTTTTTTAATATATGCATAGCTCTGAAATGTCTTTTTTGACATAATGGTATATTATGGACACCCGTCCTTTCAGGTCCATAAAAAAAATAGAACTCATCTATACTAATAAAAGAATAATATGCTAATTAGAACAGACATCTTCAGGACAACCGTCCGGACATCCTTCTGGACAAAGCCACTGTGGCGGGGCAGAGGCAGAGGCAGTTAGGGGTGATCAGATCAGCAGGGAAGAGTAGTTAGGGGGGTCAGGCTGGCAAGGGAGAGCAGTCAAGGCGATCAGGCCAGCAGCGGAGAGTAGTTAGGGGGATCAGGCAGGCAGGCAGGTGAGCGGTTAGGAGCCAGTGGTCCCAGATTGCGAGAGGGATGTCCGACTGCCGGGCCTAAACTGGCAGTCAGACATCCCCCGAGGGGTCCCGGATTTGAGAGGGTGCAGGCTGGGCTGAGGGATACCCCCTCGCCATGCACAAATTTCAAGCCTCTAGTTTTTAAATAATATTCTACGATATGGATGAGTCAAAATGTATTCACTCATTTCCCTACTGATGAAAATTCAGGTATTTTCTTGGTCTTGGTTTTTTGTTCAGTTTGGGTTTGTCTTGATATGGCGATAAAATTTTCTTAGCTAGGATTAGAAGACATAAACATAAAAGGTAAAACAATAAAAATATTGGAAGAGCCCTGGCCGGTGTGGCTTAGATGCTTGAGCCAAAAGTTTATAGTTCAATTCCCCTTCAGGGCACATGCCCAAGTTGTGGGCTGTGTGTGTGTGTGTGTGTGTGTGTGTGTGTGTGTGTAAGAGCAGCCGATTGATGTTTCTTTTTCTCTATCTCTCCCCCTTTAAAAATCAATATTTTAAAATCTTTTATATATGTACATATATATGAAGAAAATTATAATCTGGCCTGAGGGAAACTAACACCAAAAACATAGATGATTTTTTTTAAAAAAAAGATACAAATGTAAATTTTTCCAAAATAAAAAGTCGAGACAACACACTGTGAGGAAATATTTGTTTAAAAAAATGGTCAACTGATGAACCAGGAGTTATGGTTCAGGTCATGGCACATGCCCAGGTTGTGGGCTCAACCCTCAGTGTGGGGCATGTAGGAGGCAGCCAATCAATAATTCTCTCTCATAATTGGTGTTTCTCTCTCTCCCTCCCTTCCTCTCTGAAATCAATAAAAATATATTAAAAGTTAAAATTTTAAATGGCAGAGAGGTTAATATCCCTAAAACAGATAAAACTTCTAAAAGTTGAGTTTAGCCCTAACCGGTTTGGCTCAGTGGATAGAGCGTCGGCCTATGGATTGAAGGGTCCCAGGTTCGATTCCGGTCAAGGGCATGTACCTTGGTTGCAGGCACATCCCCAGCAGGGGGTGTGCAGGAGGCAGCTGATCGATGTTTCTCTCTCATTGATGTTTCTAACTCTCTATCCCTCTCCCTTCCTCTCTGTAAAAAATCAGTAAAATATATATTTTTTAAAAAGTTGAGTTTAAAAAATGCTAATACTATGAACAAACAATTAATACAGAAGCAAATATCAATGACTGTTGTATGTGTGTACCCCCCACATCCCGCGTGGTTCAGGGTTCAGGATCTGGAAGAGGAGCCGCACACAAATGAAAGAGACAAGAGATAATTTGGAAATATTGGGGGGCCAGACGGGCAAGTCCAACTCAAGGGGAAGGACCTCCACTGGTGCGTAGGCCTCGCCAGCCTTTTATTCAGCTTTGGTTAAACATAAAGCCCTTAGTCAGGCAGGTAATGGCAGTAGCAGACAGGCTGTCATAAAGCTCAGTAAATACTAGGAGGATTTACTCCGAGACTATTTGATCAGGAAATAGCTTGAGCTCTCATTGTCAGGACTAGACAATCGGTGCGTAACTCAGGCCCTGCCAGGGTACAAGGGTCACCAGCCTTCTGGATCCTTGTTTGCCCTTCTCTGCTAGTGAAGACAATGGGTGGAGTCCTACAAATGACCAATAAACGTCTGATGAGATCTTCACCCTCACCAGTCATGGGAATGCCAAAGAAAACCTAATGTTTCATCCCTCACATTGGCAAAATGTAAAAGATATAACATCCAGTGCTGGCCAGCACATAAAGAAATGTAGATTTTCAAATATTGTTGTTGAACATCTGAATCTCAACTACTTTTTAGAGAGGAATTTGATAATATATAGACATCTTAATGTTCATATTCTTTGACCCAGAAATCCAATTAAACTTTAAAAATATCTGAAAATACAGCTTTCCGTGTCTCTCTCCTCCACCACCCCTCCACCTCCCTCAGAGTCGCGCCCACAGAAGCCAGGGCCTCGACCAGGGAGTGGCTGTGGAGCTGCCGCGGCCTCGTCAGGCCCCCTCTGTGCTTCCAGGATATCGGGGCCAAGGACATCAGCAGAGCCACCTGCTTCGAGTTCCTGAGCTGCTGACAACCTGCAGGACGCCGATGGCCTCTGGCAGACGCTGCTGGGCCCTGGCCACTCTGCTGGCAATTGTGGACATCGAGCTTGGCGGTGAGGACAGCCCATCCCCATGCCCCAGAGCAGAGCAGCCCCCAGGCAAAGTCCTGGGCTCCTCAGGGGAATGGACCCCATGTTTTTTCCCTAGTGAGGAAGGAGGGACCCGCTCTTCTTGATGCTAATGCAAGGGTGGCAGGCGTAGTTTCCTTCTCTTTGTTAGAACCCTATCGTGCACGCATGAGACATCGCGTCTGTGCTGTGTGCTGCCAAGAGCCTGGTAAACTGGCCCTCCCTCCGAAATTCCTACAGGCTCATAAACTCTAAATTCATGAAGTCCAGGTACCACACTTGCCAACTCCGAAAACCCATTTAACCACTCTGTGCTTCGTATTTGTTCATCTATAAAATGGGGAGACACCTGCCTCTAGGGCTCTATCAAGGATGAGGTACATTAACAAAGCACTTTAAGTTAAAGGCCTATAGGTTCCAGGTGGACAGTAAAAATCAAACGCAAACCATTCAATAAATGAGGAGCTGGGATTGCAGGTCTCCATCAGACATGGTGTAACTCATGGACAACTCCTCTAAGAGGATGGCATTTAATGTCCTGGGGCAGCCCCCCTCTCTGCCTCAACATTTGGAAATAACGTGAATTTATTTGCCATGTACTCCCACGGCTAATTCTTCCTTCCCATTTCAGGATGCATGCGCCTCTTCAGCTCAGCGTCCCAGCAAGGAAAGCGACTAAGCTTAATCTGCACCTTGCGGCACACGAACGAAGAGGCTGAGGGGGCCACCGTGTTCCTGTGCAAGGACCGGCCTTCGGACTGTTCCCCCGAGACCAGCTTGGAGCACCTGAGACTGAGACGCTTGCCTGAGATGGATGGTGTCAGTCAAAGATCGTCTCAGTTGGTGTTCACCATAACCGAAGCCACACCATTGGCCAATGGGACCTACCAGTGTTGTGCCAAAAGCCAGACGCCAGAAATCCTCCTTCAAGGTCATTTTCTCTCCGTTTCAGTCACAGGTGAGCTCCTAACATCCCCAATACCACAGGCGGGACCCCGGCAGGGTCAACAGCTGGGGACAGTAGGTATTTCGGGTCCTGACCAGGCAGCCTCCATGAGGACATCCTCCCCGTACAATCCTTTCCCTCTCCCCCACTGGCCAATGCCGCTTTCCTACGAAGGTAATCTCCCTTTGTCTTCAGTTTCAAGAAAGCTTACTGAGGTAGCCACCCCATTTTTATTGACACTGATTGAGTCACGAGTAGGTAAAAGCAACTTGTCCGACGCCCCTACTGACCAGGGCCAGTAAATGCAGACGGAGGTCTACAATGGGAGGTCTAACAACGGAGCTCTCTGTGTTTTGAAACACAGGCACTGAGCCTTCAGGCTGGGACAGAGATTTGAGATAAAATGGATGGTTGTCTTAAAGACGACTTAGTTGTAAGAAACAGAAACCCATTCAGGCTGCAATAGATTAGAGGGGGCTGGGAACGGGGAGACAATAAAGCAAGAAGTATAGCCGGCCTGCATGAGATCATTTCCAGAAACCAGAAAGCCAGCAGAAGCCAAGTCCCTGCCTCTCTCACTGGGGCAGCAAAGCCTCGCACCCTACAGATCGCCTCCACTCTGCTCCCTGCTGTTACCACTTGGGCACAGGTTGAATAGGACCACTCCAGCCTCAGCGGTACCTACAGCTTCCTCATTGCCCAGCAGAGCGACTCCGTCCCTACATGCCCAAAGGGGCAAGCCTTCCAGAGAGAAAATTCTATTCTGCCTAGAATTCCGTGCCCAACCAAGCCACCAATTAAACGTGAGGAAGGAATAGACGCCGTCAGACAAGCAATGACTCAAAACGTGTCTCCTATGTGATCGTTATTAAGAAGCTACCAGAGAACGTGCTTCAGGAGAACTAGAAAGTGGACAGTAGGGTGGGTAAAACGGGATCCCGGAAACAAGGAACCTAACAGAAACGAGATAAGGAAATTCTAGAAGAAAAGGGCCCCAAAAGAGCAATTAGTCCAGCAGAGAGCGAGGGAGAGAGGGCTCCAGGAGGAAACGTTATAGGACAGAATAGAATTGACAGATCAGCTCTCAGGAGGCCTGTGACAGGTTGAAATCCTCACCTTCAATCAAAGTCAATAGATAATATCTAAACTTTATCCAGAAAGTGGTAACATGAGCATATTATTTAGAAATATGGGGAAACATGTCAAAGAATTGAGAGTGATGGTCTCCGGGGAATAGGCCTGAGGAGGGTAACAGGGCACTGCTACTATTCTTTACGAACTTTCAAAGAATTACTTAACTTTAAGAAAACTAGGGATAAATCACACACACACCCAAAATAGAAACCTGGCCCAGAGCCTTTTAACAAATGTTTTCATTTCCTGTGGCTAGCAGTCAATCCAAATCTTCTACTTCAGTCTCGGTTGAGCTGTTATTTCCCTTCCTTGCTTCCCGGTATGTCTTCTTAGCCTGAGCTACAGCACTCAGCACATCCACTCTCCCCGATCGACTCCCGTCTCCATGGACTTCTGTGGCTGTGCTCCTGTTTTTTTCTACCTTTCTGACTTCTGTGCTCTCCTCAATGCTTGTAGTTCCTCCTCTCAAACAAGGGAATTCCTTCCCCAAGACTCCTCATTCCCCCTCCACCTTTTCACTCTCTCCCCCAAGTTCTCATCCACCCTCTTGATTTACACCTGCCCCTCCCTGCGGCTGCCCCACAAATCAACTTCTCCAGCTCTCAACTCTGCCCCAAGTTTCAGTTAAACATTTCCACCGACAACTGGATTCCAGCTCCTGAATGCCTACCATCTCTTCAGCGTCAAACCCGTCCTCCTGAGACTGTACTTCTGTCCACTCTTTAGTCTAAACCTTTTATTGAGTACTAGTGGTTCCTTCCCACATTCATGCCTTTCTTTCCGGTATTCTCCAGGTCATCATCACACTTAAAACATCCCAATAGCCTCTAACTGGTGAGTCCCTTGAGATCCAACTGTCTTACTCATCTCTATCTCCCACAGCAACTGCAGGGTCTGGCACTGAGCTGTGCCTAATAAATGGCCCATCAACTCTAAAACATGGTCTCTGCCTCCAATCCACGCTACCACCCACCATCTAAAATGCTAATCCTATGTAATAAAAGCCTAATACGCTAAATGTCCGGTTGTCTGGTCAGCCATTCAACCAATCAAAGCATAATATGCTAATGATATGTTAAGACCACTCAACCGCTTGCTATGATGTGCACTGACCACCATGGGCAGACATTCAACATAGGAGCTGCCCCCTGGTGGTCAGTGTGCTCCCACAGGGGGAGGGCCGCTCAGCCAAAAGCCAGGCTCATGGCTGGCAAGTGCAGCAGCGGTGGCAGAAGCCTCTCCCGCCTACACACAGTCAGACATCCCCTGAAACTGCCGGCTTAGGCCTGCTCCCCGTAGGCCTAAGCTGACCGTCAGACATTCCCTGAGGGCTCCCAGACCCCCCCCCCCCCCCCCCCCCCCGCATGCCTGAATTTCGTGTACTGGGCCTCTAGTTTGTACATGATGCACCACCATCCGGTTTTAATGGCTTTTCATTGTCTATGATACAAAACCTAAATTACTTTAACCTGGCACTACTATTTAGTACTGTTCCAGTTCACTCACTAGAGGAACCTCCTTTCATTCATTGAACAAGTTAAGTATTGAACACCCCAGGCACAAGCCTTAGAGAACAGAATGAGGGTACAACAAAGTCATTGTTCCTTGTAACGTAGCATTCATGTTCTAATACAGAAGTACCACAGTCGGCACATGTGGATACTCACCAAGTATGGAAATAAGGTTCCTTCTGGAAACTGAAATGAGGCCAGACAGGTAACAGTATCAATAAACAATGTCTACCATTGAGTGCTTACTGTGCTGGGCACTGTGCTAAGTGATACTTCATCTTCATGATCTTTTGAGAAAGCTACTATTCTTGTCATGACAACTCATGGGCTTACAGGGAATTTGTGTAAATCCACTCAGCTAGTAGTGAGTGGGGGATAAAAACCCAGATCTATTCCAAAGCCCAGATTTTAACTTAGGCTGAACTGCTTAACCCACCACCCCGCAGATGGCTTTTAGATGAGACCAAGTCCAAGGGGACTAAGCTATTTTAACTGTCTCTCTGGCATGAGTTTAAAGTTCCTTCAAGGCAGGCTTATTTGCATTCCCAGTGTGACAGACTCCATATTTATTTATTGCTGCTAGAGTACATCATCATCATCACCCACAAATGTTTTTTTAAAAAATTATCTGGGCAATGAATTATGCTGATACTTGGAGACCAAAAGAAGTTCTGAGGTGATGCAAAAGGACGTTCTGATGATTTCTGAAACCCTTCCCTGATCCCGATTCTCTTTTGAACCAGAGACAGGGAACTACACAGTGACGGGAGGGAAACTAACAGGACAGCAGGAGTCCAGCCATGGTAACGGCCCTCTCCACAGTGAAGGCCCCCTCAGTCCAAGCGTCCTGCGAGAGGTTTGGGTGATCCTGGCCACCGGCCTGATGGTCCTTCAAGGTATGTTCAGAGGAAGCGTAAACACCTGTGACCCAGAGGGTGGAAAGGAAGCCGAGTGGGGGAGGGAGGTGCTCGGCAACCCCTCACTGTCCACAGGGAAACATCGAACCAATGAGGGCAAAACCGATCCAAGGGGACTAACTAGGCAAAGAGGGTGAGTCAGACTCTGCTATGGGTAGGAGGTCAGACTTGTTAGGAAAGGCCTGGGGAGAGGCCATTAAATACAGCTGCCTGTGCTCAGTAAGGAACAGAGGGCTACACGCTGAGGCCATTGTGTGAGAATGAACAAGGGAAGAGAAAGGTGAGGTTTGAACAGTGCAGCTCCTCAGCAAAGGCTGATGCCAGATCGAGTATATTCAGCACTTCTGGCTCAGCCCCTGCGCAGCCTTTATCAAGAGGAGTCAGGTTTTCCCTAACAGACTGGGGCTTGCAATGCTTTGCCATTGCGTTTTTGCATAAATCAGATGCGGGGTTTTGCCTGTCCTTGGCATTCTGTTCCATCTTTATTGAGGCATTCCTCCAACCAATCAATATCCACCACCTGGTTGTCACCAGAACGTAAGCTCTCTACACGCTGGGACTTTGTCTTGCACACGTAGGCTCTTAGTAAATGTGTTTGAAGAATCTGCATGATGGGCTAGGCCAGGGGTGGGCAAACTTTTTGACTCGAGGGCCACAATGGGTTCTTAAACTGGACCGGAGGGCCGGAACAAAAGCATGGATGGAGTGTTTGTGTGAACTAATATAAATTCAAAGTAAACATCATTACATAAAAGGGTACAGTGTTTTTTTTTTTAGTTTTATTCATTTCAAACGGGCCAGATCCGGCCCCCGGGCTGTAGTTTGCCCACGGCTGGGTTAGGCCTTACACGATGATTCTAACCTCCTACCACTCTTTGAGACAAAGATTCCTGATTACTCATCAGGAAAATGGGTACAAAGAGGTGAAACGTGGCCCCGGTTCACAGGTGCTTCTCACTAACACCCTGTGCCCTCAGGAATTATCTACTTCAATCTCAACTCCTTCACCTCCCTCCCCATCCTGAGGCCGCCTCCTCACATTTCTAGAAACAGGACCTAACACTCCCTTAGTCCAACTCTTTACCTACAAACCATCAAAAGAAAAGTGACTTTACCTGTGACGCTTGGCGAGGACCTGCCAAATGTAAGCCTAAGCCAGTTTTCAAGAAGAAACTGGTGAAAATCAATCAAGCAGTCTGACCCTATAGACATATTCTTTACTAGAGGCCCAGTGCATGAAATTCATGCAAGAGTAGGCCCTCGCAGCCCTGGCTGCCTCGTGCCGCCACCCCTCCATCCCCCCCTCCGCCCACTGGTCATTCCAGAAGGTTGTTCCACCATCCAGTCTAATTAGCATATTAACTCTTTATTATATAGGTTTAAACCTAAATTCTCTCAGGTGGTTAGGTTACTGTTAGTAAAATAAATCTTACTCCTTCATACAGAATAAATGCCCTAAAAAAAAGTGGAGGAAATAAGTCTAGCCATTCAATCTACTACACTTACTAACAGAGTCCCAAATTATGCCAGAGTAAAAAATCTCTAAGCTCGTGTCCCTTCTCCTGTCAGATGAAGAGAATGAAGTTTTGATAGTTCATTCCTTTTCTTTATTCTCCCTCCCCCAACAAGACTTATCAGAATTATTAAAGAGGCAGCATTCAGTAGGAAAACAGTACGTGTTTTCTCAGGTCTAGGGGAATCATATGGATCAAGTTAAGTTAGCATGTTTACACATGACAAAAAGGATGAGGGAGTTTCCTAGGTCTGTACCTTCTTCAGCTCATGACTAACTTCACTGAGTACCCTTGTTGTATCACCATGCCAACCATTCGGTACCCTCCATGGAAAACCTACCTTGAACTTTGAGTGGCATCTACTTCTTCTTTGATTGTCCTACCTTGCAGCACGGAGAGACTGGTGGTTAGCCCCCTTCCCACTGCCACCAGAATGTGAGGTTTGTAAAGATACAACTGCAACCTCAGTAGTAAGACACAACACATAGCACGCATCCCATTTTTCCTTTTCTGTTCCCTCTCAAGCCAGGAGCGCCTATCACACACACAGGAGCCTCTAGCGGGGATGAATTTACATGAGGTATTTTGTTGCTATTCTAAGTCGTGTGGCAGTAATAAACTTTCCTTTTTCTTTCTACAGCTCTGTAAGAGCTTCCTGCCAGAAGAAATCTTTTTAAAAATCACAGCAAGATAAATATGTTTACCTTGGTATCTTTCACATTACAACATGGGCACAGGGGAACATGCCAAGAATCTGGGGAATATAAAATGGGACAAATGAGTGGATCCTTTGACCTCCCCTACTTACTTCCAGAGCAAGCCTGCCTTCTTCCCACCTCGGTCACAGTGAGGGGAAGAGCAGCTCTCACCGTGGCTGGGGCAGTGCCCACTCAGACATGGGATAAGTCCATGTGTTTGTATGTCCCCCGAAGAACTTTTCCTCGGTCCCTCCCCTCCCCACCCCCGCCCCCAAACACAGTAAAAGAAGCAAGTCAAACCAAGTGAGAACACCAATTTTTGGGAGAGAAATTGTTATTTACCACTAAAGGGAAGAAAGAAGAAAGAAGCAAAAGAGAGGTAGGAGAGGAGAGAAAGAGACCCAGACCCAGTGTCTCGACTCTGCATGAACACAGAGAAAATGAAGAGAGCACCTGGTGGTCGACAGGAATCCACACAGCACCGATGGAGGAAGATTTGTGCAGACCAGATGCACCACGGATCACAACTGTCTACCTTCAGCGAAGTACTTACCAACATCTTCGGTCATTTCTCTTTTTATATAAATGCCCAAAGCAGTATTTGCATCCTTTTTCTCCTAAATTCACAAACCCTCTTTCTCTTTAAACAGATGACCTCTTGTCATAGTTAAGCAAGGAGGTGGGAGGCGGGGGGAGGGGAGGGAGGATATGCCTGACAGGAAGAACACAATTTCACTGGAACTAAATGGTAAACTATCGAAAGGGAACACCTTACCTGCAATCGTTGGCCAGGATCTGCCCAGCGTGGGAGCTAAGGCTTGTGGGAACAGAGAGAAGGCTGAAAGAGACGGGTTAGACCCTTATTAGTGATGGTCTTGAACCTCAAACTCAAAGGATTTTGGATTTTGTTTTGTAAGGTAAAAAAAACTAGGCATGGAGTCAAAAGACCGGCTCTGCAACATACCAGCTGTGTGTACTTGGGCAAGTGAAGTTCTGAAATGTATCTTTCCAATAAGTCAATACTGTGTTTCAACTGGATGAGGATTCTGGTGTGACTAATAAAGACAAATTGATTTAAAAGTATTACTGAAATCTTAGAAGCTTTTTGTGATGTATTTATTCGCTAAGATATTGAAGACACAACTATCATCTCGTTGGGAAGGAATCTAGTACCTTTTGGACCTTAAAAAATAGTACATTTTATTAGAAAATGTGAAGATTACCACAAGCCTGCATTCCGTAATTCACAGGTAGAAGTATCCTAGCTGAGAGAGGAAAGGCAACATGTGGAATCCACTTCCATGGACCCCTTCTAAGTGTCATCAGCAAGACGAAGTTCTCATGTATAAGATCGTAGAGTTGGATGCATGTAATTCCACTGTCCAGCAGGTATGAGATGAAAACCTCAATGTCCTTTGGATAAGAAAAGGGCTCTACTTTGGCCCTGAGAAACCTCTCCAGGGGTACACAATGCATTCTACCAGTTCTGGTTTAAACCCCTGAGCGGCCTGTGGGGCCCAGCCGGAGTGCTGAGACTCAGACATTACTACAAGCTACATTTCCTCCCACAGGACAGCCACCTAGAATTTTAACCCATCAAGCCTTCCCCCCAACTCCCTGCACCAGAACTCACCCAAGATTCATTTTGGAAACTTATAGGAAGAGAACTCTGTCCTGCCGGTCCCCCCAACTCCCAAATCTCCGCTGATTTATTCTTGTAAACACCACTCTGGTCTTCCCACCTCCCCATCAGCGGTCAACCAGGGTTTCCCCCCAGCATCGTCTGTTACCACCCTCCTCCTTTTCCTCCTAAAACCTGTTGTCTTCACAGATGTCAGTGGCGTGCCTAGATCAGCTCTAACAACCAACTCTGAAGTGCCCTTCACCTCCAAAACCCCAGACGCTGCTGTGTTATTGTTTGTAACAGACACAGACTCATTCCCCCGTCAGACTGATATATTTAATTCGTTCCTTGAGGAAGCAGCACCTAGACACCAGGGAGAAAGAAACTGAAGCACGCAAGTCATGAGAGAAAGTCAATTGGCAACAATAATTTATCGAGAAAAAATTTTAAAAACAAATTATATTTGAGTTCAACTTAATATCATACAGAAGCAATGGATGATAAACACCCTTTTCTCAAAAGTCCTTTATTCTTAACCTCATCAATGACCACACTTTTACTTCTACTGGATCCCTTCACCACACCATGTAACAGGGCGCTTGCCAGGCCAACAGTGTCCCAACACAGAACTGCAGAAACACAGGAGCCAGGGTGCGCAGTGATAGCAACCGGCTGTTCGGCTCAGGCCTCTGCCGGGCCCCTGCTCACTGCACCTCAGTGCCCATCAGTCAAATCCTTTCCTCTACAGTGAAATGTGCATGTATGTGTGTGTGTCTCTGTGAATATATACATATGTACATACACACACATATATTAGAATACAAAGACATAAACAAATACTTTTCCTCCTAATAACCACTTAATCAAAGTGATACCTGTTGGAGGGGAAATGTTCCCCAAAAACCTTCTAAGTTGAGAGCTAATTATTGGACCAAAGAATACTACTCAAGGAAATATCTGACAAGTACTTGGCTCAATTGTTAGGCAGTAAATGTTGACAACTACAATTTATAATAAGCTAAGGAAGCTATTTGATTTATAGCCATTTCCATATCCTCCACCTAGAATAATCTTTTTTTCTTAGAAACTAACACTTTAAAGAAAGAATTGAGCTATACCAATAGGGACAAAATATCATTCTGGATTCTCCAAGTTTCTCAACTCTTCAGAGAACTGACAATAAGAACTTTGAAGGAAAATTAATGCTTGTACCAGGATTATTCCTTCTCCCTGCTCCAAACTCATTCGCTTAGAAACTTTCAAGATGTCAAAGCGATACCAGCTAAAAGTACCACTCTGCCCTTCCCACCCTACTGCCCAGTTCTGCCGCGTCAGAATGAACCCAGAGGAATATGACTTATACTAACCCATCTGGAAACTACCTGAGAAGCAATCATCCCTTAGAGGCCAGAAAGGAGTGCCCTATATAACCTCTCAATGTTCAAGCCTACCGATTTCTAGGACATGTCTCTGACTTACATGGTAGTTTTCTTCCCTCCTATTTCAGATCATAACGGACAAGAGGAAGAGAAAGACATTCGTGAATAAAAAAACAATGTTTAGCTCTGCCGGGACTCATATTACATTTAATATGAATGTAAACGCCTCAAGTCTAAGGGCTCAAGATTTGAAATTGCAACCGTTTTCTCTTCTCTTTGACAATCAGAGAAAGCTGTCGTCTTTTGAGTCCTATTAATGCTCCAGGTTCCTGAGTCTGTAAGCCTTCCGGTTACGAAGGAAAGAAACACCTGAGAAGTCTGGGTTATGTAGCCCTCTGCCTTCAGCACTGCCTCCTATTTAAGAGCAAGGCATTCCTAGAAACAAACTCTGCATGTTGCACCCCAGACATGCTGTGGTGTTAGACCAATGAATCTGCAATGTTTCTCCGTAGAATGGGAGGTATCTCAGATTTCCAGGTGGATTTAAATTGAAGAGAAAAAATAGCTATTATGCACACAGCAAACTGGTCCTCATCCCACGAATGTTTCTTCTACCGTTTAACCCTAGTACTAAGGTCTCTAAACAAGACAGATATTTCCATAATTTGGCAAAATTTAAGTGGGATAAGGATCATTCGACTGTGTGCAACATTTCTATTTTTCCTTCTTGTGATGGTTAATTTGTGTCAACCTAACTCAGCCATGAGATGTCAAGATACCTGGACAAACATTATTTCTAAGTGTGTCTATGAGGGTAATTTTTATAAGATTAATACCTGAATCAGTAACTGAATAAAGCAGGTTTCCCTCCCTAATATGGGGGAGCCTCATCCAATCAGCTGAGAGCCTGAACAGAACAAAAAGGCTGATAGTCCTGCTAGGAGGAGCTCCTCCTGCCTCGCTGCCTGAGTTGGTTCATCAGCCCTGTCCTGCCTTTGAACTCAAAGTAAAACATCAGCTCATCTCGGGTTTCCAATCATCTGGCTTTTCAACTAGAACGCACTCCATCAACTCGCCTGTGCTCAGGTGTTTGGAATCAAATTAGAACACCACAGTTGTCTCTCAGAAAAATTGTGACAGCCTGGAAAGATCTTGGAACCTCTTAGCCTCCATATCACATGAGCAAATTCATTATAAATCCATACATGTATACACACAAGCACACACATATCCTATTAGTTCTGCTGCTTTATAAAACCCAAATATATTGCTTAACCTAAATTAACCTGAAGTCTGAGATGCCTCCTATTTTAGGAAGAAGCACTTCAGATACATAAAGTGGGAGGAGTCTGGGGACAGCAAAAAGTGAAGAAATTTTCAGATAATTTAGACTGTTACTAGCTATTCTGTGTACCGAGAAAGTAAATCCCTATTCCAGCACTTTGTTTCCATCCTTCTAGGAACCTACTGAGATCCTTTCTAGTTCTCTGGTTTTAAGTAAAAATACAAACGCCTGTCCTGGGATCTCCAGACACTTAACAGGCAGACAAAGCTTTCCAGGCTGTCACAATTTTTCTGAGACAGTTGAATAGTGGCCATTAAATATTCAGAATATACCTCACACTCCCTCCAGCTTCTCACCTCCCCTCAAAAGCAATGTTTATTTGGAGGCTAGATTTCAATAGGCTTAGTTAAGAGCTCACATTCTCCAAAGAAACAAACTCTACAGAGATATGACATGAGAGGCATATAAAAAAAATCTTTTATTTCCTCTTGGCCCAACCTGAATCAGACCTTATGGACACACCTTTTACGGGCAGGCTATTAATTCAGCAGGCCACTTTTCTTTCTCTCTTCCCTCCCCTATCATCTACCACTAGAGATATCATCTATATCTCTAATCCCCTTCCCTAGCCCCTCCCGCCCCCCCGCAAATCAGAGTATAGTGCATAATATTCAACAAAAACTAATAAAGACAGAAGCCAAGAAAGAGACTCTCTCAGAGGCCTTCTTGTTCTGATCATTCCAAACTATGACCAGACTAACAGTGCCTCTCTGTAACCCTTTTGGGTGTACCAACAGTACCCATCATTTCCCTTTGAGGTTTTGAGATTCTGAAGACATTTCTGATCTTTTTCAAATGCACCAAGCAGCATATGTGTGTAGATGGGACACTGTTAGGCTAAAAAAAAATAAGGCCTACCTCTCCTAGACCAGGCTGTTTTGAACATAATCACAATAATCAGTTTGATTAAGGATATGCAGAACCAAGCAAACAAAGGTTTCAGAGATGATCAAAGGGCTTAAAAAACTAAAATAAGACCATGTAAAAATCTCAATTCCTAAATATCAATGAATTACTAAAAACGGTGAACAGAAGCAGCAATGAAGGCATTCTATTTCTGTGAGGGAAATTATTTTAAAGTCCCCAAGACAAAAGACATAAACAGTGAGATGGGGATCATTAAAAAATGTCAGAACCAAAGATTTCAAACATGTGTCCTTCTTTGCCTGTATGCTGCTCCGCTCTTTCGAAAAAAGGAGCCAGAATTAGATTCCTACCAAAAGAAGACCCTAAGTCACGCTGGCTGGTTTCTGCAGAAACTGCATCTTTTGAAGTAGTCTTCAAAAACTAAATGAGGAAACCAGAGTATAATGATAAGCCACTTTCTCCTTCCCAATGTAATTTTTCTTTGATTTGCTGTCTGAGGGTTCAAAGTCATTAGTCTTAGATTTCTGAATTAATCTGACCTTAATTCATAGCTAATGTGGCCAAGAATATATGCTTTTGTATGATTAAAACAGAAAGACTTACATCAGCAGGACTTTTGGGCTCTGGTTCCACTGTATTTACCATAAAATACACTAATGATAGGATGGAGGCTGGACAAGAGGGTGAAAACATCTAATAAAGGGCAACATGGCAGATAGCAGGACCCTAGCTAGACTTTAAGGAACTAATTCTATTCTGGAAGGGGGAACCCACATAATTAAATTTCACACTTATAAAATTATCACTCTGAATTCAGCAATAAGAGGCATTTGGTTTTAGATACAATTCCATCTATAGATGCTAACTTTAAATTTAAAGAAAACACTCTGCATTAATATTATGGGTTGGGGTTTCTTACACGGTTCCTAACTCCACCGACTATTTTGTTTTTACACAATTCACAGCTATGGTAAGAAGACTACCGCAGCCCTGGCTCAGACGTGGTCTTTAGATTCAGAAAGTCCATCGGTCATGTAGCTGGTTGTCACTGCTAAATCTGTTGCTTGCAGAGGCCTCAGGGTTCTGGGTTTGCCAAGTAGAGTCCTCACCATTTAAGCTCTTCCTACATATAGGACATGTATCGTGCTGAAACAGAAAGATATCAGTCCATGTAAACAGCTTGACCTGAGAAGTTGTAGGTACTAAAACACTTAGAAAATCATGAGAGTTGGCCAGTAAAAAAACAAAAAGGGTATGCATTCTCACACAGTGCACACCGGGCTCCGAGGTGTTAACACCAGGACAGCCCCCAAACAGAACTTTAAACGCAGAGAGAGCTTGTAACAAGAGCTAACACATACCACCAACTGGAACTAACCAGAATCAGTGACCTGAGATGATCTAGAGCAGGGGCCAGAAAACTTTTTCCGTAAAGGGACAGGTAGTAAATATTTTAGGCTTTGCAGGCTAAATACCACGTGTGTCGCAACTACTCAGTGATGTCACATGAAAGTAGCCAGAGACAATTTGTAAACAAATAAGCATAGCTGTGTTCCAATGAAACTTCACTTACAAAATCAGATGATAGGCCACAGTGACCTGTCGGCTATAGGTTTGCTAACCCCTAGTTATAGCCAAACAGTAATTTAAGAAACAGTAATGGTGTTATTAAGAGTTAGCCGGGGACTAAAATCTAATCTTCATTAACAATTAACTACACCCTTACACTG